CAGTCTGGTACAGGCAGACTCTACCACTGAGTTTACAGCTGTAGCTAACTGCTAGCAAGTCACAGCCCATGTTCAGAAAAATTATCAAATGTTCCCTGCAGCTGGCAGCATCTTGGAAAAAACAGCATATGGAAAATTTCCACTTTTTAGACTGAGATATCCAAAGCTTATTTAAATCAATTATTTAAACACCCCCCCCACACACACACACCTGTCTTCTTGGACATTGCTCAAAATTCCAGAGTTGCCCAGTTGAGTTTATTTCTGTACTACGTAACTGTATTACTAACTCGAAAAAAAAAAAAAGAGGAATACTATAATTTGAAGCTAGTGTTAATAGCAAGAACAAGCCCTACAGCTCACAGAAACACACAGCAGTGAAGAACCCAGGTCAGTTAACTATAATCACTGACTGCTCTTAAAGCTTCTGACCTGTACTTCAATATGCCCAATGTGGCTCTTGTAAATACCAAGAAAAGGGGGACAAGAAGAGACATTTTGCCCTGATTACCACTCAGTTGATTTTTTTTTTCCTCTCACTTGTTCAGCTAGCAGCACTCCTCAATGAGAAAACAGCTAATTACATGTTCTCCTTGAAGCATGCACAGTACTTACCTGCAGAAAAGAACCAAGAAACTCAGCTTTTTGAACCATCTTAATATACCTCAACTGGCCTACAAACTTGTTATGGGTGTAATTTCCCTTCAAGCACCCTCATTCCTATGACAGATAACAAAACGGGAAATGACAGCTGACTAGAAAGGGACAGGGAACAATGGTTGCAGGCCACTACTGCCAGAGTATAACCGCAGAGGGAACAGAGGGGCACAGGCATTCGCAATCAAATTATCCCCCATGACCAACAGCAATGCAGCCATCTCCCACACCAAGTGCCCTTAAATCCATCTAACATGGCCTAGAGCAGGACATCAGCTGATTACAGCTGTGCTCTCATCCCAATTCTGTTACTGAGCAAACGACTACTTACAGTAATAAGCAGTAATTTTTTATTATTACTTATTACTAGTAAGAAGTAGTTACTGTTTTTCCTGCCACTAACTTTTTAGCAGCTTCAGGTTCTCCCTTCAGTAGCAAGGATATTTCCTATCTATTCTGCTAGACAGTTTACAAAGCTGTAAAATCAAGTCTACAGGTTTTTGAGACAATGCCTGTCCTGCGGAGACGCCAAACATCCAACCCTCACCTGGAAGTCAGACCTGTCAAAGTCATCTTGGAAGCTGTGGCCCACTTCTCTTCCTCTTTATTTTTACTGTTTCTTTCCAATACATAACTCTCCTACAACTCAAGCTTCTTTCCAGTATCTCCTCACTGTTTGTCTCTCTCAGATGCGAATGCTTACCCCTACTTTCTGTTCTCACATTTTAGTACATCCAACCAGCTATAAAAATCAAACCTACTCCTTATGTTAGGAGGTTTGAAACCCATTAGCAATGGGCTCTCTTTAAAACTGCAAATTACCAACAGTTCTCAAACCACGCATTGCAGTGGGCCTTGGTCTACCACTTCTGCTGAAAGTGTATTTCCAGCTACAAGCTGCAGCTTTGGCTGAACATTAGAAGGACAGCATCCAAACAGCTTCAAGAAAAATCTTTATCTCATCATCGCCAAGATTTCCCACTCATCTGGTTTTAGGTGCCAGACTGACACAAACCTTATTGCTGTTTCAAACCAGCCAACCTTTCCCAGCAAGGGAGGCAAACCCACACCAGCTTTGCTGGATCTATCAACCACCATGAGACTCCCTGGATCCACATCCGAAGGAGCACAAAATCCTCTGCTGGCTCCTCTTCCAGAGATCAGAGCAGGGCAGCACGAGGGCTCCGGAGGGGCCATCCAACCCACAGGAGGCCAGAGCCCCTCTGGCCCCTGCCAAGGCTACGTCACCCAGGAAAACAGGATATTTGCTTGCAATGTCAACACATTATGAGGAAACACGTCGGGTTGCGGGTCCTTTCCGGTAAGCTGGACTGCTCCGGAGCATACTCAAGGAGGAACCTGCTGGGAATAACCTGATTTTGCTTAAAAACAGAGAGGGTGAAAGCAACGCTGCTACACAGGGCCAAAAAACCAAACAAATAGCCACGAAGGGGGGGAACCCGAAAGCCATACTCCCTCGAGGACCATTAGTCGTACAAACGCCTCCTCCCCCTCAGAGAGCCCCTGAGGTGCCGCTGCCGGCTGCTCCGTCCTCCCGCCAGTATTTTACACCCCCCGGGCTTCCCGCCGCCATGGCGGCGCCCCGGCTTCCCTCAGCGGGGTAGCGGGTGCCACTATCGCGATATATCGCACTCACCAGACGAAGTCGTTGCTCTTGTCCTCATAGGAGTTGATCACCCCGTTGCAGAGCGGGGTGAGCAGCGGCCTCTTCCTGCTGCCGCCGCCCGCGCCGCTACC